TAAGAGTTATAGAAACATTCTGATCATTATGAACTGATTGAGCAAGAGTACAATATTGAAATCTTGTAATAAGATAAATACTGAATAAGTCACTGAAGCTTTTCTACAGAGCTAATTCTATCAGATGTATGAATTACTGAGATCTATAGTATCAGATTGAAGGTGTCAATTTATAAGTACTCTCTGAATAAGAATCTGTCAAGTTCTCAAGATTTCACACTGTTTGTCAACTGTCTATCACTCTGAAACTGATAATATTATTATTATTATTATTCTTCAATTATAGATGTATGCAGTCAGAGACTATGACATCTATCTGAGTACTTTTAGTTCTCAGAGTTTTTCCTATATCTGTAAAGTTAACTATTATACATTCATCAATTTCAGATATGCACAATCAGAAAATTTCAGCCCAGAATACAAAAACTGTTTACAAATTCCAGTATTTTAACATCTTCTGATACTTTGAAATCATTTGACAATATCATGACGAAAGAAAAGAGAACACAGTCTTAAAGATAGATACATTAAATAGATAGATAGAAAGGAATTAAAAAAAAAAGATAAAGTAAAGAGAGACTGTAACAAAACAAATTATTAAAAGATAGTATATAGCTGTTTTAATAGACTATATCTGATTGATTTCCTCCTCTTCATATTCAGATATTTCTGAATTTAGTCATTTTCTTGTAGCTGCTTGAGTTTCTGATAGAAAGTCTATTAAGTATTTAATTTCTGTCTCAGTTGAAAATAAGAATCTCATATTTAATTGATTTAGATTATACTTCTCTTTCAATCTGACTCTGAGATTATTGTATAATACACAGTGCATTACAATATACTTAGAATTCTCATTTGCATTGCAGAATGAGCATTCTATTGAATCAAATCTATCATCAAATCTTTGTATATAAGATTCAAAGTAGTCATATTCTAGTTTCAGCTGTATTATAGATGAGAATATTTTCTTTCTACATTTAATTAAACAAGATTTTCACTTGGGTTTTATTTCAAATCTTGAATAATGTATACTCTTCTTTTGTTTCTGCCAGCTTTCATTTCACTTATCTAAACAAGATTCTTTTATTTTTCTCTTTATAAAAGATCAGAACATAATTTTTTGAATAGATCTGCTTAATTCTGAACTCTTTTTTACAGCTGAATCAGTCAATTCATTGTCATGAATATTCATATGAGTAGGAACTTAGTATAGACAAATTATCAGTTTTGATATCCTTCTCTTTTGAATTTTCAAAACAAAGTTTAAGATTAGTTTAAGATTTATTTGATCATTATGAATCTGACTATTTCTAAGTCTTTTTAAAGCAGCTTGACTATCAGTAAATATTCATATCTCTTTCAAACTATTTTCTCTTTTATGAGATTTTATTTCAATGAGTTTGAAAGCTTTTACTATTGTAAATAGTTCAGCATCAAAGACTTCAGATTCACAGTCTAAATTTCAGAAATCTGAGATAAAATTGATATTATCTTCAGTATAAGCCATGTCTGTGTCTAATCTATTCAAATTCTCATTTTTGAAGTGATCTGAATAAATCAGAATAGAATCTTCTATATTGATTGTAGAAATTCTCTTCAAATACTGTTCATATTCTTTCTTCTTAGATAGTTCACTTATTTGTAAGTCTATAAGAGATTCAAGCTTTTTTCTTCAGAGAGATATCTTCTCATGATCAACTTTTTTAACATTTAAAGAAGAAAATTGATTTTTAATCAGTGAGTATAGTCTGTACAGTTGAGAAGACATTTTCTTTGAAGAATTATTTTCATTTCAATCAAGAAATCTGTTTCAATTCAGTTTCTTTTCAGAGTTAATTAATGAAAATGAAGAAGAAACTCTTTCTCTGATTATATGATTTGAGCTCATCTTTATAACTCTCAGTGTATAGTTTAGACAGGTCTTTTCAAATCTAATAGTAGAAGAGAGAATTGAAGCTTCAATTTTCATTACTTTAATAGAAGATGATTTAAATGCTCTCAGAATTCTTCTCAAAGCTCTGTTTTACAGACTTTGAAAGAGTTCAGTGAAATTCTCTTGATTATTTCATCAAACTTAAACTTCATAATCAGCTACTGAGATATTACAGACTATATATAACTGTCTCATAGCCTGGAAGAATAGACCTCTCTCTGTATTTAATAGTCTGATTATGTTATTCAGTAGTCTTTCTGTCTTGATAGTTCTTTGTTGAATGTGATATTTAAAATTCAACTTGGAGTTTAATCATACTTCTAATCATTTGATATTTACACTGAGTTTAATCTCTCTATTTAAAACAGTTAGAGATAGTTCTTTCTCATTGAATCTAGAAAAGAAATGAATTAAGTCAGTTTTATTCATATTAAATTGAATTTAATTGATATCTAGTCTAACAAAGATTTCCTTTGCAGCTTTTTCAATAACTTTCAAATTCTCTTTGATAGTTTTTGAGCTGGAGACTAGATCAATATCATTCACATAACTCAGAAATTACACTATTATTATATTTCAATTTTTGAATAGATATATTGCAAATAAAATGAGTGAGATTAGAGATTCTGACAGTACTTCTATTTTTATCTCAGTCTTATCTTATTTTATTCCATCAAAGAAAAGTTGTATGATTCTTTTAGATATAAAACAGTTAACTCATTTTATTAGAGAAAGTGACAGTTTTATCATCTTCAAAGTCTGAATTAACTTTAACTTTAAAACATGATTAAATACTTCTTTTATATCAATAAAAACTGCAGTTGAGATCAGATCTTTATACTTTGTTATTTAAATATTATGAACAACTGAGAGAACAGTGTCAATTGTAGAATATTATTTTCTATCTCTCATTTATTTACTGAATAAAAGAGAATTACTAATAGAGCTTATAAAAGATAGTTAAGTAGCTATGATCTTTTCTAAAACCTTTTCTAGACAGTTCAATAGAGATATTGCTCTATATAACTTAGAAATTAAAGTTTTTCTATTAGATTTTATAAGAATTACCTCAGTAACTTCTCTTCAGTATTCAGAATAATATTCATTTTTCAAGAGATTAAAAAAGAGCTCAAAATATTCATTCTTTAAGTAGAAGTATGTATTTTGAATAATTAAGTAATTAATTTAATCAGGTCCTGCAGCAGTTTTAACTGAACTTGAGAAGATAGCTGACTCTAATTCATCTTATGTAAGACCAGGTTATTCCTAGTCATTTTCATCAGTATAGTTGAGAAGTGATATATTCTCTTTCTCTGAATCTGAATCTGATAAGTTTTGAAAGAGAGTTCTTATAAAAGCTTGATGTTTTTTCTCAAAAGAGTTTACTGTATATAATTCATTCTGAAACTTATATTCTAAGGCTGAAAGTTTTGCTACACTTCTTGTTTTAGTATAGATAAAAGCTTTAAAAACTTCCTTTTCTTATACTTCTTCAAGAAATTTATTTCAGCAGTCTGTTTTAGCTCTTTTAATATCTGAAAAATATTCATTTCTGACAGCTTTAAACTCTTTATTAGAAATTATATTATTCTTTCAATCTCTTCTAGCAGTAGCTAATTATTTTCTTTTAGATATAATATTCTTATTTTATCAAGGTTTTAAATACTCAGAAGACTTTCTCTTTGAAATATTATCTGTAATACTTGTTAGAATAATAGATGTAATGAGCTTCACTCTATTCTTAAGCATTTCATTTGAGATATCTTGACCAGAATTTCAATATAGCTCACTCTGTCTTTCAGATTTTAACAGTTTTATGTTTTCTTCAACTGCTTTTCAATCAGCTTTTTCAAAGTTAAACTGATTAGAGAGAAGAGAATTTTCACTTATTTATTTTTCACTCAGTTTAATATTAAATTGAATAATCTCATAATCTGATACTGATGTCTTATTTAAATTAATAAATCAGTTTACAAGTCTTTTTTTTAATTAAATTTTATAATATGAAAATTAGATCTATAATAGATTTCTGTTTCATATCTTTTCTAAAGAATGTTTATTGATCACACTTGTTAACTAAATCTATTGAATGCTCAAAGATTCATTTAATCAGATTATCTGCTCTTACTACTCTTTTACATTCTGAATTTCATCAGAAATGATGTGCATTGAAATCTCCTATAATTATAGAGTTTCTTAATAAACTTATGTTCAGAAATTCTCTATTAATTGTTCAGATATTGTTATTTTTCTTCAATGACTTTTCATTATAGATATTTATAAGCTGTATAGTATCAAACTCATTCTCTTTATCTATAATATCACTCAACAGAATATCAGAGTCAGACATGATATCAAATCTTAGATTAAATTAATATCTGAATCTTTTTCTTTCATAGATCACTACTCTTTACTTTATCTCAGACTTTTGAGATAGAAAGCAGCAGTAGCTTGAATAAGAAATGATATATTTTTACTCAGCATCAAAATTCAGTTTCTGAAGCAGTATAAAATCAACTTTTTATTCAAATATAATTTAAAGATAAGAATAAATACAATTTGAGTTTCTATTCACATTATTTTGAATAAATGTGATTTTTGAAGAGTTTTAAACTTTTTTTGTTATTTTTGTTGTATATTCATACTAAAAGAGAGTAGAGATAGAGTAGAATCTAATCACTATTATCAGATAGTAGATTATAGCTATTTTGAAAAGCAGAAATCTCAACTACTTACATTATATCTAGTTTATCATCAGAGTCATTTCTCAATTCTCTAATCTTAACAGAAGTTTGAGAATTCAAATTCTGTTTACATTAAGCTGAAGAATTGAAGTTTGAAGCATTAGATAGTTAAGAGTTTCTTCTTTTTAAGCTTACAGTTGTAGATTTACTGGCTTGACTATCTTCAGTTATAGATTGACTTTGAGCTTCATCTTTTCTTCAGTTCTTTTGAGTTCTTGAAGTAAACATATATTCTTTTAAGCTAGATGCATGTTTTTCTTTGCAATTAGAGCATTTAAGCAAAGTGTACTAATATATTTCATCTATTTTTAAGCAAGTTTCACATTTATACTCACTAGTTTTGTAATCTCTAGCACAGAATGCATATTTTGAGTCTCTAAAATAAGAGATTGTAAAGTGTTCATATCTTTAACACTTTGAACACTGTGTTTGAGCTTTGAGATTCATTCTTGAGTCTTTGTATTTATGAACTCTCATTTTCAAATCTGCTACTCTTACTTCAGAGATCTTTAATTGTTCAAGTATCTTTATATATACTAGAACAGAGGCATTTCTTCTACTTTGTCTGAACTCAATTAAATTTAGTTATATAGACTCTTTTCTCAGTTGAATAGAGTTATATCTTCGAA